CCTGAATGTTCTGTAATAGTTTGCTCTGATATTCAAACATTCCAACCTTCTGGGAAGCTCCTTAAGCAGAAGGTAAGCCACTCAAAATAGCTTCAGAAAGTCTCTGAAACTGACCAGATTCTCTAAGCCCTCCTTCCCAGGGTGTAAACAAGCCAAATTGCTGAGATTCACTCTCAGATAAGCCAAACTGCAAAGAGTGAGATCAGACCAGCACCCTGGAAGAAGCAGAAACCAGCTGAGCTGCCGCTAAGAGGTTTAAACAGTCACTCAGGACACTCTCCAACCCACTGGGCCACCTGCAGGCTGTGCGGTGTGCCCCAGGTTCCCAGCTCTGTGAGCTCTCGCCCATGCTGAGTGGGCTTTGGTGATACAGCTCTCTTTGAGTCATTTACACTCCTGTAAATAACTCCAATAAAACTCACTGGTTTACCAAGTCGACTTTGGTGTGTCTCCAGTGAGTTCCCTATCTGAGGGGAGGAGGCCCGTGTGTGTGGACTCTGCCCGAGGAAAAGTTCTATCAAACAACAGAGTCACTTTCCCCGCCTCCCGTGTGTCAGGCTTGGAGGCAACCCCCTTCCTAGCTGAGCCATCCTGCCAGCTCAAACAGGCCCATTCACTGGGGAACTGAGCGAGGGCTGAAGACACAAAATTCAACTTTAAAGCTTGGCAATAAGTGGCACAATAAAGCTAAGCAATGTTCCATGGGAGGTGGTGTACGCCTACAGGTTCAGGTCCTCAGCAGTCTGAGACAGAAGAACTGCTTGAGCCCACCACTTGGGGACACCTTGGGAACCCAGGGAAAACCATACATAGACGAAGAAAGCACAGGGAAAAAAATCAACAAATGAAACCAAAAGAAAAGCAAGAGGCACCATCCTCTCCACCCCAGCAGCTGTGAGGTGAAGTCAGGCCAGGGAGCCAGAAAGGGTTACCAGCTTAAGGGTCCTTACTAGAGGACAGTATGATATTATTAAATAGGGTACTACAGTGGTACTTTGACTCAGGATGGGAAGTTTAAATAGTCTCTCAAACCTTGGAAACACTTACAAAGATGTGTCTAAAAATAATCATTTAAGAAGGAATAATTTTGGTATTTTGGAATGGCATGAATTTTTTTCTGCTTACAAAAATAGAAATTTCCTTAGGAAAAGAGCCTGAGTACACAAGGAAAAGGAAAAACTCTACTTTGAATTAAATGTCTTGTTCTCTACAGCCTAAGAATGCAAAAACATGTTTAAATTACTGTATTTACTTTTTGAGGGGAGGATACCTTGTGCGATTTGATCCTTTCCCATATGGGACCCAGAATCAAGCTCCGATAGTCAGGCTTCCTTGCTGGCTTAAAAGCGACACTATTTTTAAATAAGGCTGAAGCATCTGTACACTGGTTAACATCATGTGATTAAAAGAAGCGCATGTAATTACCCTTACCACTGTTAACGGGCCTCTGAGGAGGCACATCTGGAGACATTATACTTAGATGTTTAAACACATTGGACCAAAGGTGAAGGCTCAAAGCAGAGAACTAGAAAAAATATCCAAATGTGAAGATGGACCTACTTGTAATTATCGTCTTCCACAAACTTTTGTAGTTCTTCTATATATTGAACGGAATTCAGGTACTTTTGGACATGAGGCAACATGGGAATATCTAGGCAAAAGATGACAAAGGATTATTTAAGTCAAGTACATAGTAACTAGAAACTTAAGGAGAGAAATACAACTGGTGGTAGCTAAGGCCATATGTCACCAAAACTGAAATTAACTCTAAAAGACATTCTTTTAACTCACCATATTCACAGGACTGCTGTAAATCAGAAATTATTCGAAGAATGTTATTCATCAAATTTGATCTCTGCTCATTTTCTAGAATGCTGCCAGTGGATGGGTACGCTGAGTCAATGTACGTCAAGTCTGACAGATAGATACCTGGAACAGAACAAAGAGTTCTCACACGCATCTGAATGACTCAAGAGGGAAGAAAACCCAATTTACAGATGTTTCCAGTATGTCCTCGTTAGAATATATTAACATAATAGCATGGTCTCTTGGAGTTGAGGTTTCTAGAGTTGGGGGTCAAGCCATACAAATCTAAGTTCCTTGTGAAGTCTCCCCACGTTGTCTGTCAAGCATAGATTAAGGCTGCAATCAAAAGTTTTGTAGGGCACACTAAAGGGCAAAGAGGTTGAGTTCTTGACCTGGCAGAGACAGTCATTTTACTCCCTGAGTCTTGGTAATTACATGGTTTCAACCATTACCAGTTCCCAGTCTTTATTTTATGTAAGGAACATCCACAAGTCAACACAGCCGGTGCCTTCTATGGGGAAGTTCATCTCATACCCTTGCTTTGAGCTGATAGTCTCAACTATGAAGAGTGTTTCAATTGAGTAAATACAGGTACATTATTTGTTTTAAAGAACAGCAGCTGAGTTTCTGAAATCTTTTTTGTGGTCACAAAAAAGATTTCAGAAACTTCCTAATCAACTTCCTAATCAACTGAAATCAGAAAGAATGATATATCTCTCGGTCATATCAGTCCTGAACATAGGCGGTTCCAACTTCAAAAATATTTCCAAGAATTCACTATTCATATAGAAAACTGCCACTGGAGAGAAACATATCCACCTCCCTACTTCCACCTTATTGATCCACGAATTTTCAGGACCTGTGCCCCTGCCTTCTACACAAGTCCCTGGCTTGCCTGTTGGCCACTTTCTTCCATTACTTTCTAGATACAAGTCCGTTAATTCAAACCCTTTACCTTTTCAGTCTAGCTCAGTGTCAGTTAGTCCCTAGTTTCCATATAAATTTCTGAAAGAAATTTAGAAACTACTTAGCATATTTTCACAGAGAAGACCCTGAAATCTACAGTTATGAAAAGAACGGGGCCACCACTCTGGGACCTGTCGGGGACAGCCAGTCCTCGAAGCCCGACCTTTACCACGTCCTATTATAAGCTGATGTTATCAATACCATTAACTTACAAACATTTATGAGTGTAGAACTGCTTTGAGCTTGCTCCTATCTCATTTGTTCAAGACTATGAAGTCATTTTTGAGTTGCTCTATTTCGTTTTCTAAGAAAAGAAAACCTGTGTGATGCTTAGGTAAGAGCTGGTACTCAATACAGCACAAGGCACTGCAGGCCTGCTCACCCTCCCAGCACTCTCCCCTCTCCGTCCTGTTCCCTCACCAACTCCTGATCAAGACTGGTTTTTACAGTATTCTTCAAGTTATTTAAACATTTTTTCCCCATGAAGTGTTGAAATGGAAATCTATGTAGGAGTTTTAAGCCCTATGTTTTCTTATCTTTAAATAGACTTTCAGCAAATAAACCTGAAAGTTAACATTATCACCTGACCAAATTAACCACAGACTAGAAATCGACTCTATCGAAGTCCTAAATAGATTATTGAACGTGAAAAAGAGAAAACTCTGTATAGTTTTAGTTGATATCATGAATAATTTTTCCCAAAACAATTTTGGGAAAATTTTAATGTAAAATTGAAATGCAAATTTTCACTTTACATCCAGACAACAATTTTATGACTCAGTTGTACTTAAGTTCTAACAGGAATATCATATAAAATTTAAGATTAACTGAATGAAGCTATAATAATTCCCCTAAATTTGACAATCCTTCTCAAATAGCATACATGAATTAAATAAATGAACCCTGTTCATAACACAAAACCAGTTTGCTTTTACCAAGTAGTGTTTCTGCAAATGTGGCAGTTATAAATTAATTAAAGTTCCAAAATATAAGGTTATAAATCAGTTGAAAATTATGTAATTATGGACTGACTACATCAAATTTTCTCTATTACATCTGTATCACTTTTAAAAAATAGAAGTATATTACTGAAATAACATTTTTGGGATTTTTGTTTGTTTGTTTGTTTTCAAAACAGGGTTTCTGTGTAGCCCTGGCTGTCCTCGAACTCACAGAGATCCACCTGCCTCTGAATTCCAAGGTATGTGCCACCATGCCCGGCTAGAATTTTATAACCAAATATGTAACAATCTGAAAAAGCAAAAACATTAGTTCTGCAGACTTAGTCTACATTTCCAAAAGCTGACATCTGGTAACTGCAAAGATATTAATATAAAAATTAGGAGATATTTGTCTTTTTGAAGTGATGCTTCAAAGGTTTCCTATGTGAAGAGTGGTCCATGTTTATGAATAGTTTGCATTCTGTCTAGGCCCCAACTAAAATGCAGGGTTTTAAGATTAAATTGAAGATGAAATAAGTCCATGTATTTTTACAGTATCTGCCAGTGGTCTTGCTAGTCTTTACATGGTTATTGTTTTGCTAACAGGAGTGAGGGAATCACTAACGAAGGGACCTGGCTCTACTGTAAATAAGCAGCTCCCTTCTAAGTTACCCAATTATCAGAACCACAGACAAAACAACAACACACCAAAACAAAAGAAACCCAAAACCCCAGACCCTGAGATACAATATACACGGGAAGGCCCGAAACAAAGAATTCACCTCGGCCAGGCGGTGGTGGCACACGCCTTTAATCCCAGCACTCGGGAGGCAGAGGCAGGCGGATCTCTGTGAGTTCGAGGCCAGCCTGGTCTCCAAAGCGAGTTCTAGGAAAGGCGCAAAGCTACACAGAGAAACCCTGTCTCGAAAAACAAAAAACAAACAAACAAACAAAAAAGAATTCCCCTCAAAAGAAGCACAGTATCTAGAATCCGAGGGTTCATCCTGCCGTCCCAGCCTACATTAGGGTCATTTTCAGTTCACTGGGAGAAACTGTTTATTTGATACGGTTTTTCTTCTGTTACTGTTTTGAATTATCTTGTAAATGCTCAGGTAGACTCAGGAAATGTGTACTCTACTGTAAGGTTTAGCACTGGTATTCACATTTATTCTAACTTTCACAACTTGACCTCTGATCACTTACTGACACTGAAAGAGTAGAACTGTCCCAGATTTAAACACTCACTGTAGAGAGAGCAGTCGTGGTGATCGTGGTGTTGATCCCCCCGGGAGCGAAATAAAAATGGGTGATATTGAGAAAGGCAAGAAGATTTTTGTTCAGAAGTGTGCCCAGTGCCACACTGTGGAAAAGGGAGGCAAGCATAAGACTGGACCAAATCTCCATGGTCTGTTTGGGAGGAAGACAGGTCAGGAGGCTGGATTCTTGTACACAGATGCCAACAAGAACAAAGGCATCACCTGGGGAGAGGACACCCTGATGGAGTATTTGGAGAATCCCAAAAAGTACATCCCTGGAACAAAAATGATCTTCGCTGGAATTAAGAAGAAGGGAGAAAGGGCAGACCTAATAGCTTATCTTAAAAAGGCTACTAATGAGTAATTCCACTGCCTTATTTATTACAAAACAAATGTCTCATGGCTTTTAATGTGTACCATAATTTAATTCATACATCAAAATTCAGATCATGAATGGCTAACAATGTTTCTGTTGGGATGGTCCTGATTTAAGTAAAAATGACTTATAGTAAAGTGGATATGATCTTTTTAAAAAATAACAATTCCAGTCACTATCATAGCTCTCCCTTTCTCAAGACCAGATTGGACTTATTAAAGTTATACTTTCCACAAAGATGGGGTGTCACCTCAAACCTGTTGAATGGTTTTATATTTAAATTTATATAACTGGGAATATGGATATGTTTAAACACGGGGAAAATTCTGTCACTCTCTCAGAAACAAGAAGATTCACCTGTGTTTCAGTTTGTATTCACTGGCCTGTTACAGGCAATGGAATGCCAGGAAGCAACTGTCTATTCTTGACTTGATGATGTCATTTTAATTAGAATTCCCTGTCAAAGGATGCTGCCTTTCACCATTGAAAGGCACTTACTGTGATCTATGTATAATACCAAATAAAGAATATTTAGCACTTCTTTAAAAAAAAATAAACACCCACTGTATAAAAAAGCCAAACACACACACACACACACACACACACACACACACACACACACACACACACACACACACTCTGCCTTTCTAGACATCAGTGTGTAATACAATTTTATTCAAGGCTAGTAATTTAACTTCTCAGGAAAGAAACAGAATTAAGTATCATGTTAAATGTACCACAAACTAGAATTAGCCATCAAATGTAGGTACAGAATACATCTACATGCTGCTGAACTGCTCACTGAGCCACAGTGAGCATGTACCACCCTGCACTTTCACCAAAAATGATGCCAGAGAACTATCAACGTTACAATTTATACTCAGTATGGTAGAAACCTCTCTCTCTCTCTCTCTCTCTCTCTCTCTCTCTCTCTCTCTCTCTCTCTCTCTCCCTCCCTCCCTCCCTCCCTTCCCCCCCTTTCTTTCACCCTTGAGAGACTAGAAATTTATATTTTCCTATTTAGAGGTGGTTTTTTTTAAAAAATGAGATATACAGCATTTATGATCAGTAACTGGCTAAACACGCTTCAGTTTTCTTGGAATTCCTATAGTATGTGTAAAACGAAGGCCAGTAAGACCATTGCCTAAAGACCAGGCACCTTCTGCACCTTCTGTGAGGTTCATGAGACATGCACGGGCACCGTCGCTGATAGAGCAGGTCTACCTACAGTCTTCCTCATCTTCCTCTAACACAATGACTAAGGTTCTACCTCTTAGACACAGCTCAGTGCACTGTCCTCTAATTCCTTACCTAACACTGCATTCGGTCCATCACCCTGTGCACATGTGATTTGGCCACTGATTGTAAGTCTATGACTAGTAATTCTCTTAATAATTTGCAAAACAAGTTAACTCAGAAATGCTAAGGATACTTTATTTTTATATACAAAATTAAAAGGAGACTTAAGAACTATGTTTACTGGTATTAACCATAAAAAAGTAAAATTTATAAAGAACAAAATGTTAACTTTAGAATGTATACTAGCTGCATCATGAGTCTTTTGATGTTACTTTCTCAATTATGCTAAAACTGAGTAAGCCATCATTGACTTTGTCTTGTTTTTAATTGTGCACAGTGTTTTAGAGCCTAGAAGTCATTGTTCTGACTTGCATTTGGATCATTATGTGCTCTTTTATATGAATGCCAATACATAAAAGGTAAATAAGTATTTGAAAACAGTGTTAAAATAAAGTATAAATCAAAGCATATTCTTACATGTATTTACCATTAAACTTAATGATGTCTTAAAATTAGTAAAAAACAAGTACTATAATTGAGTACCTCTGATGAAAATTCTTTACATGCAGTTTTAAAACAAATAAACTTAGCATGTAATGGTCTTTCTTCTAGAGTTATAACAATGCAGTGTTGCTCAAACTGTATTACATTTGTGAGTGAGCAGTCATCTCAAACAAGCACTGGACTATGTCTACTGAGCTGAGCACATCTAATCAAAATTACTATCCAAGAAAAATCTTACCTACCTACAGGAAATGACCCTCCCTTCTCCTTTCCAAATCCAAATGATGCTTCTTGGTGGAGCCATTATGGTGTCCTTCCAGATCCCTACACTGCCTTTTCTATCACTTCCTCTCTGAAGAAGCCTGCCCCAGACACAATACCCATTCCTGTCTCACCCTATGTAAAATCAAAGCAGTCTTTCCTTTCAATCTGCTACTCTCCTCGGAAAGGCCCCTTGCTGCCTCCTTTAATAACTCCCCTTCAACAAACATCCCCAAAGGGAGCAAAGAATAGTGCACGTATTTTATCCTGTAATCTAGTCTGTTTTGAAGTAATATTTGATGCACACACAGTTTGTATAGGTCAGGAAAAATTCTGGCAGACTTCGAATGAGGGGAAGAAGCACTCCTAGGTACCTCTATCTCCAGCGCATACTTTTAGAGACACTAAGCTGTTTTAGACTCTTAAGTTGTTGACATTCTTGGCCACAACAATGCAGATGAATTGTATGTAAATGATTAATGCTCTGTGACTGTTGACTAATTTTGCAATTATTTGTACACTCATTTCAGTATTCTTTACCTATATGTGTATTTCTTTGAATTACCTACTGAAATGGTTGTATCTTCCTGATTCTTTTATATATTTGAGGATTTAAATAAATATTTTCACATATAGTCTTTATACTTGCATAAAAAATTACAAATTTATTTTCCTGTATGCATGTATGTATGTATGTGGGTATGCATGCATGTGGGTATGTATGCATGTATGTATGTATGTGGGTATGTATGTGGGTATGCATGCATGCATGTATGTATGCGGGTATGCAGGCATGTATGTATGTATGTGGGTATGCATGTGGGTATGCATAGGCCATGTGGCGCCCAAGCAGGTCAGATGACAGCTTGCGGAGTGGGTTCTCCTCCTACCATGTGAGGAGTCTTGGGGCTGGGACTCCACAGCTCGACAGGGTTGGCAGCAAGTGCTTGAACCTGATGAGCCATCTCAGCAGCCGAATTTATCTTTTAAAAGTTACCTTTAACCTATATATCTAGTGTATGTGAAAGACCAATCAATTTAAGGACTGCAAGTATCCCTGGAAAAGCTTAGAGACTGCTGAAAGAAATGCCACAGGTGCTAGCCCTAGAGACCAGTCAGAGCACCACAGCATACAAAGACAAGACTAAAGGACACACTCACAAAGGACCCACAAGAAAACGTTATTCCCAGATGACGGGTCATACAAGGTTTTGAGGCAGAGGTGGGATGTTGAGTCTGGCACTAAATGGCTGACTTTTCTGTTCTACCTTATCATTAAAACTACAGGTTGCCACAGTCAATGACAGTGCTAACAGCCACTGCCATGTGACCAGATTATTTCAAATGTGCTCATTCTGAATTGATGTGCTTAAATAAAGATGTAAAGAAATACAACATCACTAACACTGAACAAATCCTGCTGCATCTTACTACAAGCAGCTTCTCTCCAGAAGGAACTACTACTCTGGATTTTAAGAACATTCCTTTTATTTTCCCCCCTTTTTAGAGAGTTCTTGCTTTGTAACGTAGACTGTCAAGCTAGTCTAGAACTCATGATGTAGCCTCGTCTGGCCTCCAACTTTTCTGTTTCTGGCTCTCAATTACCTGGAGTATGTGGAGGGGGTGCAGGAGTACATGTGGACATGTGGGGCATACAGGAGTAGGCTGTGCCTAGTCTAGTTTCCTCAAGGACATATATGTATCCCTGCTAGTTTGAAAAAGAAACGAATACTTTTTTTTCTGTGTGAAGTCCAACAACATCTGTAAAGTTAGGAAAATGCTTGTTGGGACTATGAAATGATACAGTGGGTAAAGGCACTCTCGGCCAAGACTAAGGACCTGACTTCTATCCCCTGGTGGACAGAGAGACTTGACTCAGGCAAGTTATCCTCTGACCTCCACACATGTGCCAGGGTTCTTGGGCAACACACTCACGCACACACACACTCCATAAATGTAAAAAAAAAGCTTGCTATATTCCAAATAATTTTGTAAGCACTTATTAAATACAATTTTAAAATATGGTCTTCCATGACTACTTTACATCATTATTTTGTTACTATTTTATTTCTGATTTTAAATGCTTTCATAATTCCTTGAGAATAAAATGACATATGATTATATTACAACTTAGTCATTTTATTTTACAGACTTTCAAGTTCCTTCCCTCTGGGTTACTAGAGACATATTTGTACAGAACACATGTAGAGATTTTTCTTTAGTATGTGTGTACATCTATACACTCACTCCAGCAAAGCATTGCTCATGCTGTGAGGTATAACATTACAGCTTCAGAAGATGGTACTTTTTTTCAGAGCTCTATGGATCCATACTTACACTGACAGTGTGAAAGTTTCTACTGATGCACTGTGTCAACAGTCGCTATTTTAATTTGTGCCATTTATAGGTATAAAATGGTATTTCATTTGTTTGACTCAATGTTTTATCCATTTCGCCTTGTTACTGCCTTATATAGACAATATAAGGCATTATAAGAGACAATAATAGGCATTATATTGCTAGTTTTAAGTCAACTTGGCACAAGCTAGAGTCATTCGAGAGGAGGGAGCAGCCTCAATTGAGAAAATGCCTCCATAAGAGCTGGCTGTAAGCAGACTTGTAGGACATTTTCTTAATCAGTGATTGATGTGGGAGGGCCTAGCGCCCCTGGGCTGGTGGGTGCTATGAAAGCAGGCTGAGCACGACAAAAGGAGCAAGTCAGTAAGTAGCACTCTTCCAGGGATTCTGCATCAGTCTGACTTCCTTGGATGAAGGACTGGGATGTGGAAGTGTGAGCCAAATAAACCCTCTCCTTCATAAGTTGTTTTTGGTCGTGGTGTTTCTTCACAGCAATAATAACCCTAACTAGGACAGGGATAATTTTGTAAACAATCATATTACATAACGCAGAACTTGAGACGGAAAGAAGCACTAATTATGTAACACAGAATTTAAGAAAAAAAACCCACTAGATTTATCATCAATTTCACTTGTTTTAAGTGATTACATATAAAAGCAAGTGTTGTGTGTGTATGGTGTATGTGTGTATTTTTTTCTTTCCTTTCTTTTTTTCTTTCTTTCTTTGAGTCAGGTTTTCACTTACTAGCCCTGGCTGGCCTGGAGCTCACTGTGTGCATTCCAGGCTGGCCTCAGATTCATAAGGATCCGACTGCCTCTGCCTTCCGAGTGCTGGGATTAAAGGTTCAGCTATAAAAGCAGTTTTCTCTTAAGAAACTTGACATAGTTTATTACATTTTCTTGAAGGTTTAAAATGTCCTGAAACAGCGACACCAGAATAAAATGTTTAGATGTTCCCGAGGCTGTATAGAATTGAATGTTAGGTGCCTGCTTCCCAGGAAAGCCTAGCTCCTTACAGCTCGACGCTACTTCTAAAGTGGAGTACTATTTTTTCAACTCAAAAGCTCTGTGGCCGGCAGACTACAATGTTTATTTTATAATTGCTTGCTGAACTACGATAGTCTGTTTCCAGATGGTGCCCTTCCTTCAACCTGCACACAATCTCGCCTTGTTCAGAGCTATTCGACCTCCCGCAGCTCCAGCTCCCTCTCCACTTAGGGCTACAGAGGAAATCCTAAGGAGGAGATTTCCACCCCCTCCCCAGGCTCCATCCGTCTTCTAATGACGTAATAGGTGGGCTGAACTGAGTCTACCGAGGAGGAGAGGGAATCACTCTTGGAGTACTGTGCTGTGCAGACAGTCTGTCAGCTGCGGCTGGTTACTGCCCTTCTCCATGCGGCAGACAGCACAGCCACAATGCATTCGCTGCTGGATTAGAGAAAGTCCACAGACAGCCCCAAGTTCCATAGGTGGCCTGTCAAACTCAGTCGACAGTGCTATAAAAACAAGTTCCTCACTGCTTGGATTCAACAGTCAGAAACAAAAATGCAGTTGCCCCTGAAGTCAGAGACGAACGGACTTCTACACTGATCTTTTAGAGAGCAGGGAAGGACGAAGTTTCCGGATTTACTTTTCAACAGACACAAAAGGTACTTTAATGTTTCTCTTATATTTACTCAAAATTCTATGTCAAATGCGTAATTTTTCTTTGTACTAGAAATTAAGAGACCTACCAAAGAGCTTTAGCAGATGCTACTGATTCGAATCTGAAGGTTTTGTTTTGTGTCTTTCTGTAAAAACTAGTCATGAAGTTCTTCAGGATGGTTAATGTATTACTTGAAGTCCAAGTTAGAGTGACTCGACCATCCATACAGCTGGGTTTCTGAAAACGAATGCTCTAGTGACACTGGAGAGGTGACCGTCACTCACTCGATGCCTAAGCACAGCAGCCAACAACAAAGGATGTAAACTACAGAGAACCACTGTGCGTGTGCTGAGTTTCTCCTCTGGACAATGGTGTGTGTGTGTGTGTGTGTGTGTGTGTGTGTGTGTGTGTGTGTGTGTGTGTGTGTGTGTAAAGATGTACATCAACTATTGGGACTTTCAAAATGTGGCTACAAAACAAAGCTAAGAACTGGTTAGCTGAATGTTTCCAACAAAACTCAATTACAACAGAACAAAACTCTTAAGGAGACTAAGTTAATCTATGGTAGTTCTTGTTAGAATTAATCATTTTAAAGAGTCTCCTAAATTTACCTACAACGGAAAATTTCATTTTGGTTTAAAACTGCTTCTAACTGGAATTAGTTGCAAAAGTAATTATTGATACAAACAAATAATCAAACCTAAGGTCAGGACTGAGAAGGATTAGGGTCACAAGGATTAACAATATGAATTCAGAAGATTTAACTACTGAAAAACAATGGAAAGGTCAAAAGTCGGTTTTAACAAGACCTAAGATGTAGGTGTCCTTCAATATTCTATTGGGAGCTCTGTTATTCCTGAGAATTAAGAAATTACTGCTTACCAAGAGTAAGCTTTAACACCAAAGACAGCCAAGTTTGTTATGATGGGAGATTCCCGGACCAGAATTTCCAACAAATAATGATAATGTTCAGCTCTATTTTTCCGACTTTATTTCAACATTAAAACTCTCAATTCTGGGAGTTCTGTTAAATACATATTTTATAGGAGAGTCTGATAAAATTTCCAAGTCATACACGATTTTGAAACATTATCATCTCTGTTATTGCTTGCCAAGATAAAAGCAGGACTTCATTCAACATCAGGTCTTCCAATGCCTTAGGTAGGCATTTAGGTAGGGTATGTGTGTGTGTGCGTGTGCGTGTGCGTGTGCGTGTGCGTGTGTGTGTGTGTGTGTGCGTATAAATCACAGATAATGATTTGTCTGTTTGAGGTCCATTCCTAGGGCTATTCTCAGGTTAGTTCCTCAAACACATCTGACAACCGGGAAAGTCTTCATTTCCTTGGTCAGTTCTTCTTACAGCTAACCTCAGATCTCAGGCACAGTCAAAGGAAGTGATCCAGGCATTTATTTCTTATTACAGCTGGCAATACGGCAACCACGAAGAGAAGTACAACTAAGAAAATGAATATAACTGCACAGTTTTTTTTCTTTCTTCCTAAAAACCACTACAGGCAAAGGCACAGATTTAAGCTTCAGTGCACTATAACTAATTTATAACATTCTTTTGGGACCTAGGAAAAACTTAACATAAATAGAAAGGCTTTACGAGGTAATGCAGATTTATGGATCTTTCACTTTTAAAACTGAACATATGCGGGGAACATTAAATAAGAGAATATTTTTAGAAAATGTAATAGTAAACAAGTTTTAAAAATCAGTTCTTTGCTCATGACGTATCTAGTCTACTCCTTAAGAATGTGCCTAACTCTGCTTTAAGGGACAATGAGATCATCACTGCTGTAATAAGGAAGCATAAAACAAACACCACAACCATAATGAGCTTTTAATTGCCACTGTTTTATCATCTTAAGACTGATTTTCTGAATCATAGTGATGCAAGGCAGATAACTGACCAAAACACCAAAAATCCTCATGTTTTAAATTTAAAATTTCCTTGTCTCAGTAGCTTATTTCATTCTAGAAAGTATTTAAATATTTTTGAGTTAAGAGTTTCTGTTCTATTATTAAAATGATAAAAGATTTAGGAAAAGGGATATACCTCGGCCGAGAGGCTAATGGCTTCTATCGATTTTATTTTTACTGTTCCCTGTTTTGTTTTGTTTTTTTTAAATAAAGTTACATTTCGATTCCAGGAATTTCCTGTAAATATAACTCTAAATCTGTCATCAGTTTTCATACAGGTAACTCTTGGAGCGTAAAGGATGCTCTGTGAGAAAGCAATGACTTTGGTTTGTATTTCCCAGTGTCAGAAGGCACAGTGCGAAGCAGGACACAGTTGTGTGCTGTGCTTCTGCACCAGTTCACACAACACCAGTCCGCACAGAGGACTTTGATGTAAATGTTAGGATTTCACCAAAGAACTTCTTCCCACATTCTTCTCATTCTTTGCTTATTTTCATTATCTATCGTCTTTGAACACAGCAAAAATGCCTGAACTGAGGAGACCTGCTTTCCCAGGGCAGGTGGCAGCAGTCTTCACAGCAGCTCCAAGTCCATGTTTCACTAAGAAACGTGTGTGCGTGTGTGTGTGTGTGTGTGTGTGTGTGCGCGCGTGCGTGTGTGTGTGTGTGTGTGTGTGTGTGCACTCGCGTTTCCAGTTAATCACAAACACCAACGGGCAGAGTACACATGGGCAGAGAGGAATGTTAGTAACAAAGTGTGTGTGTGTAAAAACAATGACAGCGAGGGCACACAATGACCTGCACATGCTTTTGCACAACAAAGGAACAGGCCAGGGAAAAGTCACAAGCCACACCCGCCAAGACACCTTTTGTTATGACAGACAGGACAGTGCGGGTCTAGTATTTGAACCCCACCTGAGTGTTTTCTTCTCTGGGACTTCTCTTTGTAAGTGAGACACTGCTTTTAGTTTCCTGACAGAGAGTAGTCTGGAGAGCAGAGCCATATGATGATGTGGTTAATTAAAAGCATCAACTCTAGCGTCTTCTGCCTGGGTTCGAATTCTGGCTCTACCTCGAGACAGGGTTTCTCTGTGTAGCCCTGGCTGTCTTGGAACTCGCTCTGTAGACCAGGCTGGCCTTGAACTCAGAGATCCGCCTGGCTCTGCCTCTTGAGTGCTGAGATTAAAGGTGTGGTCCCCACCACCAGCTTGGCTCTACCCTTTAACAGCTGTGTGACCACTGATATGGGCACTCTGGGGTGCCAGTTCATGTGAAAATGAGTATTAGAATCATCTGCCTCACCGGGTTGTGACGACACTGGTCTGGTAAGGGGCTAAAGACAATGGTCTCTCCCTAAGAGCACCCACCAGGTATCCAGGGTGTTACTGCTATGCTGTCAGTCCTATGTACACCACGTGGGGGTAACCTCTTCATCAAGAAGCAAGGGCTCAGGCAGAGGAGAGGTAAGCAAAGCTCCCAGAGTGCCCACGGCTAGCCTTACGAACAGCAGACAGACAGCATCAAGCTGCTCTGAGTCCGGCTTGCTCACGAATCTGATCACATGAATACACTTCCCCACTCCTTCCCACTCCACTGCACTGCTCGTCTGGGATTAACTAAGAGGAAGGGAGAGCTCTGGGCTCTGGAAAGTTACGGTGTTGGACTCTAAAGAACAGGTACTTCGCCGGGCGGTGGTGGCGCACGCCTTTAATCCCAGCACTCGGGAGGCAGAGCCAGGCGGATCTCTGTGAGTTCGAGGCCAGCCTGGTCTCCAAAGCGAGTTCCAGGAAAGGCGCAAAGCTACAGAGAAACCATGTCTCGAAAAACCAAAAAAAAAAAAAAAAAAAGAACAGGTACTTCTCCTCGGCCACAGCCAACAGGACACAGTCCAAGCACACATTCTGACTTAAGTCTTGTCGCCACAGATACTGACTGAGGGCCAGGGAACCCAAGATCTAGACCTGTTTCTAGTATTAGTGTCTCTGTCCTTCCACTCACCATGGTTACAAAAAGGTTCTTTTGTACAACAGCCAATTTGGTAATGCTGTTGAAAATTAGGAATTTTTTTTTACCTAAATACAACCCACTAGACTTTCTTAACAGAAAACACGTGGGCATCACCTACAAGCGTAGAGCACATGCATGACTGGCATTCTTAAACTGCAGTGCAGGAAACACAATTACCCACGAGGACTGTGAGCATCCTGGCATTCTTAACCCTGTCTCCAGTCTCAAAAGCAGATGCTACAGAAACATGTCATGGTAAAACTGTTTGACTTGGCAGGTTAAAAAAAAAGTCATGGTATTTAGTGAAGACCAACTTAACTGGCCTTATTTATACGGTATCATTCTACTCTGAAACACTGACTAGTAAGACTACCTAGACTGCAGTACTAACCAAGCAATGCCTTAACTACTATCTTATACACATTATGTACTATTTTCAGTCTTTGGAGAGTGAGCTTTCTAAAGGAAGGTACTTTTTGGGTCTTAAAAGCTCTCATAGCACCCTGAAGTGTGCCTTTCACAGGATGGGCACTGATCAAAATCTCTTTAATGAGCTTGGGACAAAAAAAAAAATGCAATATAAGGTGGCAGCTGCAAGAGCTGCAAGAGCTGCGGATCTAATCTTTAAACAAATATCAAAATTCGAACTTAATAATGAACTTAAGAATTCAAGTCAAATCTAATTTACTAGTCCTGACCCTTCAGTGTTCCTGTAAATGCTGCGGTGGATAGAGTGAGAACTGTCCTCCACAGGCTCATGTACTTAGACACTTGGCCCAGTGGGTGGCGCTGTTGAGGGAGGTTTAGAAGGTGTCCTTGTTGGAGGAAGAACTCGGGCTTTGAGATTTCACTCCTCACCCACTCAGGCCACCACGCCTCCCCACCATGACAGATTCTTATCTCTCTGGAAGGGTAAACCAGAATACTTTGGTTCTCCCATACGTAGATTTTGGTCATGGTGTAATATCATAACAACAAAAAAGTAACTAACACAGAAATTAAAAAATATATTACTGATCGAAGAATGACTAGCTTAATTCACTGTAGAAAGCAACAGGCTTCCCAGTATTTTTGTTCAAGTGTATCATGTATTTTGACCATATTCATACACCAATCTCTCTCCAAGTCCTTTCCTCAAATAATTCCTATTTTCCTAATCCCATATTTTCAAGTCAGGTGTGAGTATCATGTGTGTCTATATAGAATCTAGGTTCCATATATTTGCTTTTAGAGTCTGGCCTATTTTCCTTAGTAAGAAGACTCCAATTCCATCTATTTTTTCTGCAAATGACTTGATTTTGCTCTTTATGGTTGAACCACTGTGCATATAGACCATATTTTCTTCATTCATTCTTCTCTTGATGGATACCTAGGCTGATTCCATCACTCAGTTCTAGTGAATAATGTTGCAATAAACAAGGGTGAGCAAACACCTCTGAAGTATGTTGACGTAAGTGTCCTTCAGAGAGATTTCCAGGAGTGAAACAACCCAACCGTATGGCTGTTCTATTTCTTGCTTTTCTTTCCGTTATTGTGTTTTTGAGACAGGGTCTCTCTGTGTAGCCTTGGTTGTCCTGGAACTAGTTCTCTAGACCAGGCTGGCTTCGAACTCACAGAGACCAGCCTGCCTCTACCTCCAGAGTGCTGGGATTAAAGGCGTGTGCCACCAATGCCTGGCTGGCAGTTCTATTTCCTGTTTGAGGACCCTCTACATTGACTCCCACAGTGGCTTTACTAGTTCATAACCCACTACTTGTGGATAAAGTGCCTCCACCCTCACCCTTGCCAGCATTTGTTAGGTTTTTAATAACAGCCACTGTAGCAGGGATTAGATGGAATCTAATGTGATTTTGATCTGCATGGAAATTGACATTAATTCTTTTTACGTTTTCTCTTCACTCAACTGCTTTCCAAAGGACGCTGTGGTACAACTTCATTTCAGAATGAAGGCTTTTGTTTGGACCCTAGCTGTGCTGCTCTTTCTACTGGGCATTGGTCACTGCAAAGGAGGACAGTTCAAAATAAAAAAAATCACCCAAAGGAGATATCCCCGTGCCACGGACGGTAAGGAGGAAGCAAAGAAATGTTCCTATACATTCTTGGTACCTGAACAAAAAATAACAGGGCCCATCTGTGTCAACACCAAAGGTCAAGATACAGGCACTATTAAAGACATGGTCACGAGGATGGACCTTGAGAACCTCAAGGATGTGCTCTCCAGGCAGAAACGCGAGATCGACGTCCTGCAATTGGTGGTGGATGTAGACGGGAACATTGTGAATGAGGTGAAGCTGCTGAGAAAGGAAAGCCGCAACATGAACTCTCGAGTCACTCAACTCTATATGCAACTACTGCACGAGATTATCCGTAAAAGAGACAACTCCCTCGAGCTTTCTCAGCTGGAAAACAAAATCCTCAACGTCACCACAGAAATGCTGAAGATGGCAACAAGGTACAGGGAACTAGAGGTGAAGTATGCTTCCCTGACTGACCTTGTCAATAACCAGTCTGTGATGATCACGGTGTTGGAAGAACAGTGCTTGAGGATATTCTCCCGACAAGACACCCACGTGTCTCCCCCTCTTGTCCAGGTTGTGCCCCGACACATTCCTAACAGCCCCCAGTACACGCCTGGCCTGCTGGGAGGCAATGAGATACAGAGGGATCCAGGCTATCCCAGAGACGTAATGCCGCCACCGGACCTGGCAACAGCTCCCACCAAAAGCCCTTTCAAGATTCCAGCAGTAACTTTCATCAATGAAGGTGAGTTAGCTCTTACTGGTCAATGGAAGAAAGAAGTTAGCACGCTATACAATTCAGGCAACAATACTCTTAATAAGCCCTTGTTCTTGTGTGGGGATGTCATTACACACGTCCAATTAAAATTTCAATTTTAAAAAGCAGTAGTAGGGTTTGATATAAAATCTCTCTCTTCTCCCTGCTCTAAGTTTCTAGGTGCTTATATGAAGTTGTTTTTTCCCCTGTGAAACAGTACTCTTCATCCACATTCTTCCAATGGAGGCTGCTGTCAGTGAGAGGACTGACCACTGACACACTATGAAGACTCGCTCTGCACCCTGAGCGTGCAGCCACAGCTCCACCTCCTCCCCACCCTTCAGAATCCTTTCTGCTTCCTCTTGCCCACATCCTTTTCGAAAAGAACATTTACAATTTTGCTCTCCTTCTCAAGCCTGCGCAGACTCAGAGTCTGATCCCTAACACTGCTCTGTGACTAATCAGATCCTGGGCTCCTGTTCTTTCCAACTTCAAAACATCTATACATAACCTAGCTCTGTTACCTCAAGAGAAAGAGGGGTTCTATTTTCCAAGGCTAATGTTTTGTCAACATTAAAAATCCCTACACTGATACTGAGAGCTTGGCCTCAATTTTGAATTCCTCTTCTCACTTTCTGTGAGTCTGGACTCTGGGAGGACCAGTAAACAAGCAGATTCCTCTGTCTCACTTAGTAACATTCACATGTGCATCCATTTTCTCATGAGCCGTCTCCTGAACCTTTTATAAGATGACTTCTTCCTTATGGTGGAGGGAAAACTCAGGTGCCCGGAAGGAAAACAGTAACCATTTACTGATTGAAAAGGCAGGAGATAAGAAGGGCTACAGAGAAACAGCACCAGGGGGCTGTCTGCAGCAGTGGGGACCCTGCTTCAGCCTTCCACACTGTCACATTAGAGTCTTCTAACTTCCCTGGTCTTCCACTGACATCTTTGTTCACAATGTGAACGAGCTGTCTTCAAGACACTGTATTTTAGAGATGCCCCACATCTCAAGATGCCAAAGGTCACCTGGGCTTTTGGTTTAAGAAACACTGGCCATCTGCATTAGGACAGTCTATTACTTCCTGTGCCAAGGCTTCCTCTACTGAAATACAGGTGATCAAGGCTTTAAAGACTAATGCTACGCATTTCAAGACTCAAACAGACATTACTAAATGGCTCTTTCTCCAAGTCATGGGCTATTTCTTGAATCTGTTTTCTACTCCACGCCACACTGTAATTACTAAGATTTGTTTGTCTCCCTGCTGGACCAAGTTTGGCATGTCATCTTGTAGAACTGTATTTGAAGAATGAATAAGTAAGCCCCCAAATAATTATTTTGTCAAACCTCCACAGGCCTCAAGTTATTGTTTATTTCCACAAATACCTCTACTGTCTGTGTTGCATACATTTCTTGAATTATATTAACTTTACAAGAACCCACAGCACATCTAAGAGAAATGAATTTGTTGCTCAAATTGCTAAATAGTCTTTTAATAAAAACCCCGGAGTCAGATATTGGGGTAAATGCTGAAAGATAAGAGAGACAAAGGAACAAGCCACTGCCACAGCTTACCTCTAGGACGCCTCAGCCTGAAAAGGCTTTCAGTTCCCGTCTATTCATGCCTTATATACCTTTCTCCACCCAGCCATATTACTTCCTTTTTAGTGCTGGGATTAAAGGAATGTGACTTCCCAAATACTGGGATTAAAGGTGTGTGCCACCACTGCCTGGCTCTGTTTCTCTCCTAGACTGAGTCAATCTCTTGTAGTCCAGGGTGGCTTTGAACTCACAGAGATCCAAACGGATCTTTGCCTCCCGTCTGCTTGGATTAAAGGTGTATACCACCACTGCCTGATCTTAAGTTTAATCTAGTGGCTTGTTCTGTTCTCTGATCTTCAGACAAATTTTATTAGGGTACACAATATATCACCACATGCATTCTAAAATATAAGCTCCTTTCTGGCAGATGGATACTATGTTTCAACTGTTGGTGCTAAAACACTGGATGATTTGATAACACAGAGCCTCTTAAAATGGTTAATCTAAGGGTCTTCATGAAAACAAGTGTTAAGAGCAGCAACCATCAGGGTATCATTAAATTAGGTAAATGATGATCATTAACTAGTAACCTACGCCCCTTAATTTTCAAAAACATGTACAAAATTATCCACTGGACTTAGAAAAGAAAAAACATTCATCTTTTCTATCCTTTTCAAAACTTGTTTTATTAAGCTTTTAAACTATATGATTTATCAGTACAGTAGTTCATATGTTATTTGTAGAAAGATAACGGAGGTGTATTTTATCAAGCTATGGGAGATACAATTACAGAAGTTTGGAAACAACTGCTGTCGAGTTTTCTAAGTAGATCTTGAAATTTAAGTCAATGGCATCATCAATTTTAGAAGAAATGAAGATGTGTATATTTATTTATATAACAAACCAAGAAAATGCTTTACAAAATGAAAGCATCATTTTGTAGGCTTTTCATACACAGAACTTCAGTACAAGAAAACTCATGGAATTAAATCCATGCCAGGAATTTGACATGCCCAATCCCTAATGTGTGTTTCACGTTCACAAAAACAATGGTGTACATAGCAGTCCTAAGAAATCAATCTTTAATGTAAAAATTAAAGCACAGAGATAACCTTTTCATTATTACTTTCAGTAAACATTACTTCTGTTTTACTATATAAACAAAGTTATGGATAAAATCAGCTATATTATAACAAGTGCCACTTCCCTCATTACCAATCTTGGGTAAGTGACTTGGCCTGTTTTATATGCCTTGAGTAAGACTAGTGCTGAATGGACTAGATGCCTGTCTTGTGCCTTACAGTTCTAATACCCTCATTCCTAACAAATATACATTATTACAAGCAACAGTTAATAAGGCTACTATTTTATCTCTTTATATAATATGATAAAATTACTTTTACAACTCCAGAGAAAAGTGTCTAATACTGTTTGGACAGTTATACAAAACGATTAAAAACAGATGGCTATTATGCTCACATATGTTCTGGCTCCAAGCGAATCATTACTGTACTCTACTTGTAGGGAGTTATGCTACAGTCTCTATATGCACAGTGCAAGAGACACAATAACCTGTACTACTTAAAGGGCATGCAGCCAGCTACAAAATGACAAAGACTGTGACTCCACTTACATGAGGTACTCAGAGTCAAACTCACCACACAGAATCTAGTTTTCTGCTTTGAGAAGAATTAAAATGTGTATCACAGGAGATGAATGAAGCCCATTTCAAGATTACTGCATGCAAGAAAAGGGTAATAAAAGTTTGATTTTAGAGGAATGGCTATACTCTTTGAAGGTATACAGTTTTCCTGTCCATACCCTTTGAAGGTATACAGTCTTCCTGTCTATACCCTTTGAAGGTATACAGCCTTCCTGTCTATACCCTTTGAAGGTATACAGTCTTCCTGTCTATACCCTTTGAAGGTATACAGTCTTCCTGTCTATACCCTTTGAAGGTATACAGTCTTCCTGTCTATACCCTTTGAAGGTATACAGTCTTCCTGTCTATACCCTTTGAAGGTATACAGTTTTCCTGTCTACCCTTTGAAGGTATACAGTTTTCCTGTCTATATTCTTTGAAGGTATACAGTCTTCCTGTCCATACCCTTTGAAGGTATACAGTTTTCCTGTCTATACCCTTTGAAGGTATACAGTCTTCCTGTCTATACCCTTTAAAGGTATACAGTTTTCCTGCCCATACCCTTTGAAGGTATACAGTCTTCCTGTCTATACCCTTTGAAGGTATACAGTTTTCCTGTCTATACCCTTTGAAGGTATACAGTTTTCCTGTCTATATCCTTTAAAGGTATACAGTCTTCCTGTCTATACCCTTTGAAGTCCCAAATTTCTGAATCAGGGTAAATTTGTTCGATAATATGCAAAGCATTAAGTTGATTTGGATTTTCAAAAATAAAGCTGATAATTTTCTACTAGTAGTTTTAAGAATTTTTATTAGTGTTAAATATGATCCAGAGAAAGAAGTTAATTTCTTTAAAAACTATCATCTAATTCTAGAACAACAATTTTAAAAGGCATGCAAAGCAACAAGGAGAAAATGTTTCCCTCAAGATCAACAGTACACAATGGGCTAAGAGTGTATTTATAAAAAGCAAGCGCTGAATTCTGACATTCACTGTCTTTACTAAAGAGGAGCAAAAGCACTGCTTTTTTATCCCTGTCCTCCACAAAGTAATTCCACTTCCATTTCCTGAGGTTTTCTATCAATTAAGCCGAAAAGATACTCAAACTGTAAACACAAGGTTCACTGTCAAAAACAGGATGGGTTAGTAAAGTTTAAGAGAAATTTAAATTTGCATGTATTGCAAGTTTTATCAAATGGAAACTGGATTCAGACAACCTAGAATTCTTCAATTTGTTTAAACATTTAAGCACCTTTTAAGTAACAGAAAGAAAAAAATCTATCTATTAAACAAAACAAGCTGATACACCTTTAAGTTGCCTAGAAATCTGAAATGTTTGAGTGCTGGCAGTAAGGTTTCCACGGCAAAGTTGAGTCCCAAGTCTGACACAGTGCAGAACCCTCCTGTCCCGGCAGAAGTCAGGGGCTACTCAGCCTGGCCTTTGTCACCATCCCAAACCGTGACACTTCTAAATATTTTACAACAGCTTACATTAATCAAAAGGGCCACTTTTAAGTATATATTTGTACAGAATGTGAACTGTCACACTGCACTCAAGCGAGCACGCTGTAAACACTGTGAGGCGAAGTTAGAGAAGCAGCAGGAACAGAAAGGGAACCTGGAACCTGCTTAAACAGGAACAGTATTTAAGTGTACTGCCCACAAAGCACCCCTGTGTCATTAAGAGAAATACTACCAGGCTTAAATAAGAATTCAAAATACAATAAAATACACTCCTAGACACCCTAACTTCCCTAAAAGACAGAATTCAGGAACAATACGTGACTAACTTTAGAAGTTCCACCGTGACTGGACTTTTCAGGTAAAACGATCAAGCACATGACTGAGCCAAGTCTCTGGCCCACCTGACAGGCTGTAAACATCATCCTGTTATTTATATTTCAGACACACAAACCTCTAAGAGCTGTGTAAGAGTAAACACACCGTTCTGCATGCGGCTTAAGTCCCAATGAGCCCAACTTTCATTTCTTCCGCTTGGCGTTGACACAGGAAGACAACACACTCCTGCTCAACGTCAGCCGTCACTTCACATCCTTACCACACGTTCTGCCTGAAACGTCATCACACGCTCACCACACTGAGGGAACTAACCTTTCCTTACCGCTTCATCCCAAGATCACCACACTGTGGTAGAGCTAACCTTTCCTTACCGCTTCATCCCAAGATCACCACACTGCGGGAACTAACCTTTCCTTACCGCTTCATCCCAAGATCACCACACTGAGGGAACTAACCTTTCCTTACCGCTTCATCCCAAGATCACCACACTGCGGTAGAGCTAACCTTTCCTTACACCGCTTCATCCCAAGATCACCACACTGTGGGAACTAACCTTTCCTTACCACGTCTCTCACCTCCCACTTAACCACAAGGTTGTTTAGCTATCTCTGGACCTGGAAATAGTCTAGCTTGTACTAGATTCAGAAAAGACCATTTTTTTTAATTAAAAACTTTTTTTCATTTGTGTGCATGTGGCCAAAGGTTGACACTGGGCGTCCTCCTTGACTGATGTACACCTTTCTGAGATAAGGCCTTCCATTACATTTGAAGTTCACTGATTTGGTTAGACTGGCTAGCCAATGAGCTAAAGGGATCTTCCTGTCTCTGACCTCCAAGCCAGCGCTGGGATTACAGACATGCCCAGCTTTTATGGGAACACTGGGGATCCAAACTCAGGTTCTTGGACAGGAAGAAGTTACAGACTAAAGCTTCTCTCCATCCTCCAGAAAAGACACTTCTTAAAACAAATATAAAACCGAAGAAATTCTGAAAATGACTACCATCAGAAATGATGTGGTACAAGTATAGGAGAGTCCCCAAATGGGCCCAAACCATGGATACCCAGCCAAAGATAAAGCCCCTGTCTATGAATAAACAAATACATTACCATGTGTCATGCAGACTAATCAAAGTATGGGGTTGGGAGTCCTCACTTTTCCTTACACTTCTCTCCCTGGTCAGAAATTAAAGTTTTCATTCTATCTGAAATGTAATTCTTCTTCTCTGGCCTGAGTACAACATATGCTCCTAGAGCATGAAATTGTTCCTCTTTTAAACTTCTGTTTTTATCTTAGTGCACTGGTGTTTGGCCTGTATGTATGTGTGAGGCTGCCAGATCCCCTGGAACTGGAGTTACAGACAGTTTTGAGCTGCCATGTGCTGGGAATTGAACCCGGGTCCTATGGAAGAGCAGTCAGTGCTCTTAACCACTAAGCAATCTCACTAGCCCGAGAAATTGTTCTTATGTGATTCAGGAAAAGAAAAAGAAGTAACATCAGTATTCGTGGGATTTTCACAAGTGTAGCAGTGTTTTGTGCTACATGTAATTCAGCAGAATGCACAGTATGTGTATGGCTAAAATCAGGTGTTATTTTTAGTTTATGAATTTTTATAACTTGAGGGTTTTCAGTAAAGTCTTATCTCTCTATGGTAGAAATGACTATATCCTAACCTTTGATGAGCCATACTGAATGTCTTCATGAACATGTATGAATTAATAAATAAAGTACTGAAGTCATTTAGGACGTTACTTCTGCATGTGACGATCAGAGCAAAGAGAAAAAGGGGACTACTGACAGTTACTGTAACGACAGTTCAGCTGAGCACTGTGCTAACAACGGCTCTGAGGAGAGAGCAGCACAGTGCGCACACTCCAACTCCAGCCCTGGAGGCTGAGGCAGGAGGATCTGGAAATCAAGGCCTGTCTCCAAAAAGGGAAAAGGGAGGGAAACCTCTGGATACTTTGACTAAGAGCCCCAAGTCCACTCATGACTTGAAAAGAGAGGACTGAGCCAGTTATGACAGCAAGGGCTGGACCTCCAGCCCTTGGGAGATTGAGACAGGATGACTGTGGGTTTAAGAGAAGCTTGTACCACACCACCACTCCCAGGCCCACCTGGGTTACATGGTGAAACCCACGTCAAGATAAAAAACAAACGACTTCAGCAAACTAGGGAAGCAAAGACCAAGATTTAAAAAAAAAAATTTTTTTTTTTAAATTTTTTTTTTTAAAGCAATTGTCTCTGAGGCCTTTATTAACAGATGCAAAAATAAGAAAATTCCAGAAGATAAAAAAGAAGCCAATGAAACTTTGAGAGGACAAAAAAAAAAGAAGAAAAGCAATACCTAATGTTACTTTAAAACATATTTACTTTTATGTTTAAACATTGTGAACGTTTTTCCAGGTTATCTTATTTTTTACTAGTAATCTGTAGTATAGATACTGACAATTAAAAAAATTGTAAGTTATATATGAAACACAAAAATATGGAGTAGAGAATTTGGCGCTCTCAATTTTTGCATATAGTTTTCCATTTCCTTTTATTTAAAGTGAAAAGACTGATTCATTTACTAACAAACTTGACTGATACCAGTTAGAACAGCAGACGCAAAGTTCATACAACACATGCGTCTCCATCCTCAGGGGCAATCCCAAAGGAAGAGTTCACACTCCCCAGGAGCCCCTCCAATGACAGAAAAGCTGCAGTATTTACGTAATGAAATGAACTTATCTTAGTAAGATCCAATGGGGCAACACTATGTTCTTAGCACAATGTATGTAACACATTTCTCAAAATTCCACTAATCCTATTATAATTATAGAACAGAAATTCTTTTAAGAACTTTGACTATTTTCAGATATTTAAAAATTATGCCAGAATTTAAAAGTATTTAGTAAAAAAAATTGACAAATGGATTTAAAAACTTTCTCTTATTCAAATGTATCTTCATTTTAGCATAACTGTTTTTTTCTGAGTCATAATTTGTGCATGCTCTTAAAAGGAAAGGCCTGAAACACTGGTGTAGGATGGAACTCAAGGATGTTCAGTAGAACTAGAAGATGTTTTCTCTAGGTCCCACAATGTACAAATCAGACTCCAAATGACTTAACATCATGTTTTTGTCATTTTTAAAAGTTGAAATCTTACTGGCTGAAGATACAATGTCGAGGAGGCAAGAGCCCATGTGAGCAACCTTGACAACCTGAGATAGATCTTACAACCCAGGACCTACATGATAGAAGGAGAGACCTTGCTCCTGCAGGCTGTCCTCTGACATGTGTGCACAGAATAAATTTAAAAATACAGAACAGCTGGTGCTATGAAAGAAAGACAACCATTTCGCAGCAACTCAAACATTTACCAGGGAGGACATGAGCAAGGGCTTACCACCACCTCACATGACCTTAACTAACCACTATCTGCGCAGCATCGAAAGCCATCTCAGGGCCACTGGGCAGCTTTGGTAAGAAAATCATTTTTAGCCATAACTCAGACAGTATCTTAGGAAGACCCTTAAGACAGGGTCTCCACTGAAGCCAGGCTGGTCCAGAACTCAGTGTGTTCACCTTACACTTGTGGCCAGCATCTGGCCTTAGCCTCCTGAGTACTGGGATTAAAGGTACTGGACTTAACACCTGGCCTGATGGGTATTTTTTTATGTGAAGGAAAGTGAAGATTACGTATTTTGGGGAGATTCCATTTTCTTTATTTTATGGCTTTTTAGCATTTAATGAATGAGTGAATGAACATGACTACGTTTCCAAAAGGGAAACACAATACTTAATCCTGACAAAGTTTACTAGACTGTAGTGCTCCACTTCCACTGAACACACAAACTCTGTGTGTTCCACTGAAATAAAAGGTCAGACACTGTAAGTCTGGCACCAGGAAAATACGTTTAGTAATACCAGTAGATCAATCCTGCAGCATTTTTTAAGTATGAAAAAAAAGGGTAAGGTTAGTAAGGATGACGTCATTTAGCACAGTATTAACTATAGCAAAATCAGAAAAAACTTTATGTCCATATGAGAGAGGGAGAAAACCAAAGTACCAGTGGCTACTCTAGTGTCAGAATGAAGATCACAGCTTCAAGGAAACATCTGTCAAATATAAAAGACAATATGATGCTCTGTGTGTTTTACGAGTGCAAATTTATAAAGTACAAAGCAGAGAAGAATGGGAGATGAAACAAGTGAATGCTTTGACTAGTGGGACTGATTTCACCCTTTTAGTTTTAATACATATTTTACATTTAGTTTCTTTAACTTTTATAGAACATTATGCACACAGCAGATAAAGTGTGATCATTTGTAAAGATAGAAATGAAGGTAAGAATCTTGATTTAAGAACTATTTTAATACTTATCTTTTACATTTCTCAAACATCACTATTTAAACTACAGGGCCATTCAAAGACTGTCAGCAAGCAAAGGAAGCTGGGCACTCAGCCAGTGGGATTTACATGATCAGACCAGAGAACAGCAACGGACCGATGCAGTTATGGTGTGAGAACAGTGTGGATCCTGGGGGCTGGACTGTCATTCAGAAAAGGACAGACGGCTCTGTCAACTTCTTTAGAAACTGGGAAAACTATAAGGTAAACGAGCGAGTTCACACCTAGGGAAGGTGGACCCAATCAGGTCTTGCAATAGTGACCATGTTAGGCAATAAACGAGGCATGCAGTTGAAAACATAACTATCCATGCGATTTTCTTTATCTAGCAAAAGGTTTATACTCACCTCTAGTTGTACAGCTAAAATTACAGTGTGAAAGTAAAACGCAAGATATCCTTTTAAATGCTCCTTTGAGTACGGATAACTTATACACACATGCACATTTTACAAAGATAATTCTACTTTAATAATTTTAAATCTATTTATTTATTTGTATGAGTGTGTTTTGCTTGCATTTATTATGTACACAATGTACAGACAGTGCCTATGGAGGTCAGAAGAGGAATTGGATCCCTTGGAACTGGAGTTCCAAGTGGCTGTGAGCTGCCGTGTGAGTGCTGGGAATCCAAACCACTAAGCATCTCTCCAGCACTTCAATTCCACGTCTTAATGCAACTACTTGTTTGTTTATAATACTGCAGTATTTAAGCAATAACAAAGTATACAACTTTCAAAAAATGACCCTCTTCTTGGACTATTTTTAATAACCATGCTTTAAGTTTGTATCATGACATGGGTTGTAGGGTTATGAACACAATAAGATTCCTAGATAGAACCAAATCATGTGATATCAATTTGAGGAAGTAACAACTGGTGTGTTGATAATTCTGATGTTCATAATGGTAAGTTGTGAGTGAGACATATATATGTCCACCATCAGTTAAGGACACTAGACAGGGAAGAAAAGGTTTTCTAGAGCGCTAACTCCTTGTTTAAAACTGTGAAGTGATCACATGCTTGCTCGTTATTAGGTAAAATTTGACTGCCAGTTAAGGATGAAACATTAATATATCTGGTCAGAAATGATGGAAATATCTAAACAAGTAACTGCTTCAAATGGACACATGCACATACACACACACAACACCTTCCTTGCAGTTTTTTTTTTGAAGACAAACTTTCAGTGTTAAGATGAAGTTTACTAAATCGATTCTGCTGCAAGTTTCCAATGTCATGTCAAATGCTTATTAAAATAAAGTAGGCCATTTCTTTCGGATAGTAACTTACAATTTTCAAAGGGTGAACTTTAAAGATTACTATAATACTTATTTTTTTTACTTATAATAAAATACACGATTATTTGTTTTAACACACTATCATTTTGATTGAACAATGGTCGTGATTTTATGTACTCTCTATATACACATACTTTGAAGACACACAGCTTTGGATGAGGGTGTGATCAGGACTGAGGGAGTTCAGTCAATGTTTTTAGTAGCTATCAATACATTCTGTGGTTTTCTGCTTTTACTCTTTGTAGCATTTGAAGCTACATAAATTAGTACTGACATTAAAATAAAGCAAAGCAAAACAAAAAGACTTCCCTAATACCATAGAAGTCAAATTACCCTGAATGAATAATAGCCTCACTCTACTTAGGGTCTAAACTTAACTTGTAGCCGTAGCAACGTTTACTATCTCTACACTTATCTATATGTTTCTGTTTCTGTGTTTATTAACAGAAAGGGTTTGGAAACATTGATGGAGAGTATTGGCTTGGACTGGACAATATCTATAAGCTCAGTAATCAAGACAATTATAAGCTGCTGATTGAATTAGAAGACTGGAGTGATAAGAAGGTCTATGCAGAATATAGTAGTTTTCGTCTGGAACCCGAAAGTGAATCTTACAGACTGCGCTTGGGAACTTACCAGGGGAATGCAGGGGATTCTATGATGTGGCATAATGGCAAACAATTCACCACACTGGACAGAGATAAAGATATGTATACAGGTAAAACAAAGAAACAAACAAGCATGGCTGTACAATTACCACCTTCTATGCATTAAGAGTCAAGTTACTAAAGTGTATTATATGCTTCCAAATCTCAGAAAGGTTATTTTGGACACAGTCAAAGGGAATATAATAGAACTTCGTTTTTAGGATTTCTAAGGCAACCCCAATGTTCTTTGGGAAGAACAAGGTCTGAGAGAACCAAGACAAAACCAAGCTGCATCTGCTTGGAAACAAAACTCTGCCTAACATTCATATACTAGCTGAACCCTTATCATATATCAGAAAATGTAGATCTGGAGATTTAGCAAGGAACTAAATTTCTGCCCTTTGGAGGTTGCCTCCAAGAGGAGCCAAAATAATTTATTAGGTGCTGCTAAATATTCTTAGAAAACTGAAACCAAGTAATGCTTCTTGGTTTCGTGTTCTGTTGCTGTGATAAAACACTGTGACCAGCCAAGGCGCAGGGAGAGGTTGAAGGGGTTCATTTCAGCTCACAGCTCCAAGGCATAGCTCATCCTAACAAGGAAGTCAAGAGCGTGAGGGAGTCAGTGACATCACACCCATAATCAGGAAACTGAGCACTCAAAGTATGCACGCTAGTGCTCAGCCTGCTTTCTTCACTCTTAAGATGGTTCAGACCTCTGCCTAGGGAATGAGAACCACCCATAGCAGGCAGATCTTCCTACCCCAATTACCTTAATTAAGACAATCCCCCCAAGAGCATGCCCACAGGCCAAACGAACCTACACAATCCCCAATGAGACTCCCTTCCCAGGTGATTTAGATTATGTCAAGTTGGCAGTAGGGAACAGAGTATGGCGCTCATCAAACCCTTGGATGAGTGTTGTTTAATAATGAGATTCACATGATGACACCACATAAGAACCTTTCCTGAACAGCTTATTAAACAGTTATTACCTTATCCAGTAGCACACTGGGCACTATTTCAACTTATTTCCCACTAGCAGAAGAAGAGAGACAGGATGGAAAATCCACCTTTCTGCTCACAACTCATTTAATTACAAGTTATGTTATTTTTAGATTTCAATTTTCTCTCAAGCTCTACCATCTTCCTTAGTCAATCTGTTTCTCTCTCCTTTCTCTTAGTATACTTCTTACACACAAACACTGCATTTTATTTACTCTACTGGGCAGAAAATGGAATGTATATAAATGTAAAGTAGGCAAAAAGTGAAATGAATAAGGTAGTTCCAGTGATGTGAGGGACCAAGATGAACATGACTGGAGTCAGTCAGGGGCCCATCACTCAAATCGCTCCAAAGGAAGCACATGTTCTCAACAGCTTGCAAACTGTCATATGCAGAACTTTTACTTCAGTGTCTGTATTTCTCCTGCAGGAAACTGTGCCCACTTTCATAAAGGAGGCTGGTGGTACAATGCCTGTGCACACTCAAACCTCAATGGAGTATGGTACAGAGGAGGCCATTACAGAAGCAAGCACCAAGATGGAATTTTCTGGGCTGAGTACAGAGGCGGGTCCTACTCCTTGAGGGCCGTTCAGATGATGATTAAGCCTATTGACTGAAGACAGATAGTCTCCAAATAAATTACACAGAACTTCACTTTTCAGTTCCCCAAATGTAAACATTACATGCTACTTGGCACAATTTGTTTTTACAGGTACAGTTTGTAAAATAAATTGTACTGTGACTATAAGAATGTATCTGTGAATATAGCTCCATTTCCCTTTAATATGCTACAGAAGATTATTTGTATGCAAATCTGTTATTTTAAAAATTATATTGACCGAATACAGGTAAATGTAAATATCTGCCATGATGTAAAACAAAGCTTTATTTTGAATCAAGTCCAAATACATGATCAAGATACTTAATGATTTATTTAAAAAAATGTAACACTGCTCTAATGTTCAATGAAAAAATAATTTTAAGACTTCAGCCATGCAGTTCATTTTATTTATGAAAATATAGACAGGAAATTAGAGAAAGATCTCTAGTTTTGCCACTGAAAATGTTTTTCCATTGAATAAAAATTTAAAATAAAATTTTAAAGTGAATTATGTTTTTCACTTGTAATTATTTTCTTCCAATAATTTAGGACACAAAATACAATATGAATCACTTTTAAATGCATAACTAACACCCTCATTACTTAAATGGGAAATGTATAAAAACAGATTAATTTCTTAACATTCATGATATGCTACTACCAAAATCACCAGATACACACATAATAATGACAAAAGCTGTGAGATACTGATACCACAAAACAGAACAGACAGTATACCACTTCTAACATATATCTGAATTATGGTTCTAAATGTGTTAATTACCACCCTATCCCATTTATTAAACTTTACCTTAAAACACCTAGCTACAGGCTAGGGTTGTAGCTCAGTGGTACAGTGTGTGCCTCGTATTTATGAAGGCCTGAGCTTGATGCATGACAGCGGCAATCAATGAATGAATGAATGAATGAATGAATAAATAAATAAGGTCTGCCTTTTACTTGTGAAAGAGATTGGATAGCTTTCTAAGTACCACTGCATACTTTGGTTAAAGACGTTTTACTAATAGTGAGGCTACAACACAGTCTTAGAGCAAAATCCATTGGGTCTTGGCAGGTCCGCACTGCAAATTCCACTTTGCAGCACCTGCCACTATACCATAGTCCTCCTTCGCCCAATTCATCCTTCTCAATCAACACCTTCATTCCTGGCCTTCTAACAACTTCCTCCAATAATACAGTCACTTCTTACAGCTGATTAGCCCTTGACTCACTCGTGAAGCTAATATTTTAAAGATGTGAGATTTACACTTAATTAAAAAGAAAAATGCGACAAGAACTAAAACTGAGCAAGGCAACCTGTCCACAACAGAGGCGGTTTAACATGGCCGGCCGGCCACTCAGACAACGCAAGCGCACAGATCAACGCTTCTCCTGTATCACAGAGCAGTTTAAAACTTCCGGTCAAAGTTACAGCTCAATGCCGGCGGCGTTTGTCTTTGCCATCAACCAGCACTTCACTTTACCCAAACCTGACACCAAAGACAAATCCTACAGAATCTTCACAGAATTAGAAGTGACTAAGGAGAAAGTAACATACAAACTAGCAAACGGAATGAATTTCCAAACCGCCTTAATGAGTGAATGCATTCTGTCACACAGCTGATGCAGATCTGCTCCCAGAAAGGTGACCGGAATACTGTCTATACTGTCAGCGACACCCACCGTGTGTGTGTGTGTGTGTGTGTGTGTGTGTGTGTGTGTGTGTGTGTGTGTGTGTGTGTGTGTGTGTGTATGATGTCTTCAACTGAAAAATATCTGTATTTTCAAGCATGAATTTATAGTGAGCCAGGCAGTAATTTTAAAAGTAATAAAGAGGTTAGGCATAAACAGCTATAGTATAAAGAGAATCTTGAGGAAGAATGGGTTAGGTTACTAGTGGTGAGGTCTAGGAATCATCAATGTAGGCATGGTGGCACAAACCTGTAATCTTAGCATTTGGGAGGTGGGGGCAGAAGGATCAAGAATTCAAGGCTGGCCCAGGCTACCTATTGAGGTAACCCAGCTACAGGCGATGTCTCAAAAAGTTAAAACAAACACACCCACAACTAAGGCTGCCTTTCCTGCAGTAAGAATGGACTCTATAAACCTGCCTTCAAGTTAGCTTACAGACAGCAAAAGGAGTGCGGGTAGTATGTGCAGTATTATTAATAAGTAGGCTGTAGAGGCACACATCTGCAATTCTAGCATTTAGGAGGCTGTGGCAAGATAATCCTACCTTCAAGGCCAGATCCTGTCTTATAACTCCCTCCTAACTCAGAAAAGAGTCTTATTTGGCCTACATATAGATTGGGTTTGGACCATAAAACAAAGCCAAACTATTTCTTATTGTTAAGATATACAATGATTTTATCTCTAAGTTTTAAGTTTTGTCTGCACTCAATGGAAGGCCGTCAATGTCAGGAATACTTGGCTTCTCTGAAGAGATATTTCAAAATTTGAGATTTTAGGTAACTCCAAAATTAGACAAAACACTGAAATTTTGTAATAAAAAAAATAAACTCCAGGATAAACTGCAACCCTAATACAGCTTGAGATGAATTTTCACTCATGTTCACTTAACTGAGTCATGATATAAGTGGAAAAAGAAGTGATTCCACTTAAAAAGCGAGGACCACCCACAAGAAAACTGAAAGACCAGCTAAAAATAAGCTCCTTTCCCAGGTTAACCATGAGGGTAACTGTTAGCAAGCCGTGCTCCTACAGAAAGTGGCAGGATAGTTGACAAATAAACCACCCAATCACAGATTCCACAAATATCGAGGTAATACATAACACTAATACAGTTACAGTGAGGCCATCCGTAGCCAGGGAACCTGTCCTTCCTTTGTTTGGTCCATTTATCTGTCATACATGAATAGTTCTTACTGCCTTGTATTAAAGAACTGACATACATTTTACAGGAACACAGGATTATATGCTGGCAGTTATTAACATTATTTCTCTGTTGACGTCATGCAAAAAGGCTAAAACAAATTACGGAAGTATCAACACTTGAAAGTCCTGCTTGCGGCTAGCATTTACTTCAGACTATCTGCTTTTACTTTTTAAAGATTCATAAGCTCTTAAAAAACCACAAGCACAAGAACGATATTAATCCAACTGATTTATGTCATAAATCTTTGAAAGTAACCAACTCTCACAACAGAATAAAAGAACACCAGTGGAACTTTAACTATATTTCAAAAGAAAGAGGGTAAAAAGGATGCGAGGAAATGGAGAACAAGACTGCAATACTGGGTAAGGAAAAACCTACAGCTAGGTGCCATCTGTTCCGAGTTCATTTTCAGAATCCAAAAGAAAAGGACTGAATGTGTTCTACTGCTGTTTAGAATAAAATATATCATCAAAATAACAGAGCCGGCAAGGTGGCCCAGTGGCTAAAGGTACTTGCTGCCCCGCCTGATGGCCTGCGTTTGTTCTCCAGAACCCACACAGTACAAGGAGAGAACTGACTCTGCAAGTTGTCCACTAGCCTCTGCATGTCCTCCTAATATAAATGAGTAAATATAAAAAGTTAAGGAAGTAAAATTAATCCAGTGTGTATTATCTATTAAACCAAAAAAAAAAAAAAGAAAATGGTATCAAATATTTAAAATATAAATGCCTATATTTTTCATTATCAAATATTTATTATTTTGATATTTAAAAAAATCTCCCTTAGGGATTTTGATATCCCTGTCAATGACTTTCATGTAATATTTCACCAAAGGGAATGGGCAAGTTTTCTTTAGTTCCTTACAGAAAGAACTATAGGACAGGATTGACAGTGTGGGCTGCTCAGTGGTAGATTGTCTAGCATTTATGAAGACCCGGGTTCAATCCCCAGCACCAGGAGGGGAGACAATTAGCCACTGGTGTGTACCTGTAATCTCGGCATGGGGACAGGGGATGAGGGAGACTGGACACAGACAGATGGCATGAACAGACAGGAAGATGGTGTAACTCAAGGCCTGCTAGCATACACACCCAAGACCATGTCTTCCAAAAGCCCAAAACAACAACAAAAGTAACTGTAAAAAGCCTGGGGCCTTGTTGAAATGACTTTAATAGAAATTATTCAGAACAATAATTTTAAAAATTTTAAAATAGCAGACATTTCTAAAACCAACATCACACTGAAAACTATGTTCTGAGATCAATTCCTGGCCCAAAAAAAAAAGATAGTTTAGGATTCTTTTAAACTTACGCATCCCTTAAAATTTTCATGAACTGTGATGACAGATTACAAATATATTGTGAGAAATGATCCACATCTCCTCTTACACAGGAAACGAAGCCATTTGTGAAGTATGGCTATCAACCAGATTCCTTGTTATTAAGGCCATGTTCAGTACCATGTACCCTGGGATAGAGCTGCTGCATTCCCAGCTATGTGTCTCGTAGGAGCCCTAAGTATGGTGCAGAGTAAGTATAGCTGTCAGCTGAAGCACCAGAAACAAATGGTGTGTGTTTGTGTGTTCACACGTGTGTGCGTGCGGGCACTAGCAGGTGCCTAAGGAACTGTAAACATACCACATGAACATAGCACTATCTCACAAAAGAGATTAAAACAAAGTTTCCAGAACAACTGGAAGGCCCAGAAATGGATCCTTTGATTAGTTAGCTGCATCAGCAAGTATGTGTTAAATGTTTCCTTTATTTACATCCTAAAACCCCCGAAACCAAACCAAGCCAACCAGCTGATCAACAACAAAGAAACCCAAAGACACGGGCTTATACATTTGGGTCGGAAGGGAATGTATTACAGAAATAAGAGAGGTTGGTGTTTTGTTTTTTTTTTTTTTTTTTTTGGAGAGCAGGGAGTGGAGGAGAATGGAACACTGCATTGCAAAAGATCGTAAGAGCATTCTTATCTCTTTCAAAAAAAAAAAAAAAAATCCCCAAGTGGAAACGTGATATTTCAGTTGAAATTTAAAGGAGAACATGGAAAAAGCTATCTCTTGAAGCCTGAGGGAATTATATCTCCATACATCAAGACAGTTACTTGACGTCTGCAAAAGGGCTGGAGAATTCACAAAAATGTCTCTCTGCTTCCCTCAACAGCATCACGGTCCACTTAGTTTCAGTGCTCACAGTACGCCTTTCTCAGAACATATTCTAATTCAGTCGTGCTACTGCATTTTTCCATGACGTGAATTAAGTAGAAATGAGGTTCAGAAAGTACACATGGAGAAGTATTTACCATGTTTCATCAAATTCAATTATTTCTGAGCCATGTTCTAGTTTTCCCTCTGCAGCAAAGCAGAACTTCCAAACTCTTCCACAGCCCTTCAGGACTGCTCTGCAGTGACAGGACAAACGGATGCTGCTAATGGGTTTCAGATCTAAAGCAATAGCTCATATACAACAAAATGTCCTTGACACCTGCCAAACTGCTCCTCCCTGGACAAAGTGATCCTTGTTTCAAGAGCTTTCAACTGCACTGTCTAAGCTGACCACTTCTGACCTTGAGTGCAAACCCCAGAAGACCATTTCAGCAGAGGATGAGTGGAGTACCAAGAAAGGGGCTCCTACTT